TTTGTTGGTTTGTTGTTTGGGTTTTTTAAAAAGGTTTAAAAACTTTAAGGAAAGAGAAGCACAGAAATTTCTGTCTCCAGGTAAATAAAGAATAATTAAATTGCTTCTTTTTTTTTTCAGTCTGCTTGTCATTTGCACTGCAAGGCCCTGCAGCAGCCTTGCTCCACCAGGGCAGAGAAGCCAATGTTTGATCAGTATGGCCAAAAAGCAATGAGCCATAGCTACAGCTCGGGGACCCTCTGGCCTGGGAAAAAAGCTTTGGAGACCTGGCCCTGAGGGGCCTGAACAGGAACAAGCGTCAGAGCTCCTGGGCTGGGGGCTCAGCCCATGGCAGATCTTCTGAGATGTTTTTTGCAATAAAATAAACGACAGCTGCAGCCATGGCTGCTGCCTTGAGCTGCTTGAGAAACAGATTTTTCAAAAAATGCTTCTAAAAATCTCTATTTTGTGCACAACCATCCATATATATGGATTTAAAATAACTTTCTGACAGAAATAATAAACACCCTAGAAAATCACTTCTGATGAGCATTCCTGTAACTTTCTTAACTGTCCGAGTCTGCAAAATGGGGCTACTGAGAGGGAGCTTGCCTGTGTAAACTCTGATACTCTCTGCTTTTGATCACACTGGAAATAATCTAAGAGCAGATTTTTCAAGAAGAAATACATCGTTTCTTCTTCTGGGTGTCAAAAGGCCACAAGCTAATGAAAAAGAATGAAAAGGATACCATTAATATCCACTGCTTCTGCAACACTTTTCTTCCAAGGATCTCAAAGCAAGGGATGACAGATAACCATTATTAACCCCACTTTACAGGGGAAATAACAAAGCCTTTGCAAGGTTAAGTAACTTGCCCAAAGCTACGCAGCAAGTCAGTGGCAAGATACAGAAAAAATAATACAAAGCCCTGCTCTCCTAGGCAGTTTTGTGAAGGGTTTGTGCAAGCTCCTTCAAAACAGAAAGAAGGAAGAGACTGCTGCGTTGGTCCAGCCTGCAGTTGCAGGTGCTCAGGACAGGTATCACAAAGGAGCCAGGCAACAGCTTCAGACCTGGGCACCTTTGCTGTAAGCAGCTACAGGGAGGTGAAACAAATCCCACCCTCACGGTTTCTAATTGCATTTATTTGCCTGTCTCTGTCAATGTGGAAGAGGCATTTGACAGGGAAGTAGAAGTGGTAAATCACACAGGCTCTGTGTTTTCTGTCCATAAACCTTTCGTTTGGTTTCTGACTAACGCCCTGTGGATTTCAGACGAAATATATTTCAAACTGGTAAGCTTTAACTGAGTTTCATGGCGATACACTTCTGATATGATATGAGCTCTATCATTTCATTCTGCAGTAGCTGCAGGAAGGAAGGGTCGGTGGAGGCACCCCTTGGCGGGGGACCTCATCAGTGCCAGGGACCTCCTCCACTCCCTGTCAGTGGATCACTGGCCGCATTTATTCTAGGGATGGTTAACCCAGTTCTTGCCTTGTGCTATCATGACAAAGCTAAACAGTCAGATTTTGAACCCATTTAATTTGAACTGCCTTGCATGGTTTGGTTTTCCTTGGGAGCATTTTACTCTAGCTGCTTCTCCTTTTCATTCATGGTAATGCACTAAAGCACTTGATTTTCAGCAAGGAATGGTGTCACCATTTTGACACTAATAAAGAAGAAAAAAAAATCTTTCAATCAATCAGGGTCTATTTAACATGTTAGCAATTTTCCTTCATTTTTCTGTCATCCTACATTAACAGCAGTGGGGTCAAATCCAGCCCTGGTGTAATTCCAAAGGAGTAACACCAGGAATGAGCTTCGCCCATTATCTCTAATGTTGCTAAAAAGGTCTCAATAATAGATTTTTTAAGTTCTTGATTCTGAATACTAATCAAGTCCTTTAAAAAGAGCACTTCAGTGGGATGCTACTAAAACAAATATGCTGTGGTATTTTACACCACATCTTTCTGTTCTGTTGCTCATTTCTGTGCAAATGAAACAGTTTTGAGAAGTCACTTTCTGCCATGAGGTTTCTTCTCAAGCAGCATATGGGTCATCCATCTCCTGCCTATATGCCCTCCATGCAGACTCCTGCAGCAGCCCAAGAGCCAGCCCATAAGACGTTCAGCCACATGTAGGGTGTCCTAGCCAAGGGTCCTCCTTCACAGACCAATTTTCCCCCAGCTTTCAAGAGCCAAGAGCTCTCCAGAGGCTGGTCCTCAGCATTCTCTCCACCACAGTTTACCAGCAGCACCCAGTGACCTGCACACCAAGAAATCCCAGTTCAGCAGCTCCTGACCATCTCTGTCTGAAATCCCACTGAGCACCAAGTACCTTCATGGAGATATCACAGCACAGGAACAAAGTAAATGCATCATCATATCATACCTTCTGCATTTTGCCCCTCAGATATATGCTTTGCATTACTCCACTGGTGTATCAGTCATGCTCCACGTGTGTTCTCCAGGGCCTTAGCCACCACCTCCACCTCTCCTTTCTTACACCAGTTTCTCTTTTATCACCCTCTCTGCCAGCATTAGACATCTGCTTTAGGCTGAGGGTCCAAGTTCTGACTTGCAAGCACTGACTTCTCTCAGTGTGACTCCTCAGGAGTGTGCCTGGCCACATCTCACCACCACATGGTCCCTGCTGTCATCCTGATGGCAAGCAGCGGGGCACCAAAAGCCCTTTCAGGCCAGGGAGGAACCAAACTGCACTTGAACTTGCTGGAGGCTCAACATCACACTGGAGTCCCAAAGGTGAGAATCACCTTCTGACTGAAAACAAAGGTACAGTAACCCCTCCCCACAGGTCCCAATCTGCAGCCCACCAGGTGCGCTGGTCATTCTGATGAAGTCTTGACCCCCTTGACCGATACAGTCCCAAAAGATGTGTTTCCCCAAGGGTTATCCTAGCCAGCTGGTGAGTGCAAAACATGATCACCATGTCTGAGAGCTGAGTTTTGCTTCAAGTTGGGGATTAGCTCAGGAACGCACATGAGTTTTGACTGTTGTTCAGGGTGTAACTCTGAAATAAACTGAGCTTTGCCTCGTGCGGGCATCTAAATGTCATCGCTGCTGGCAATTGTTGCCAAGAACTAGAGGGGTTAGAGCTCGATCTTCAGAAAGTAGCAACTTTGATGTGGCTTCAGGCCTCCCCAAAGGAGATCAGGCATATGCAGATGTCTCAGATAGATGCTGTTCCTATACTGAAGACATTCACATGGGCCGGGGGTTGCTTCCACTGCTTTTCTCACATCCCTGGCTGTACACTAGTCTTTGTGTATCAACTTCTTCTAGTGAAAAAACTATTTCAAAGCTGGGATAGTACAAGTACTGTCTGGAGAAGAAATAATCTGACCTCCAGAATCCCCAAATAAACAGGTGTGAAAATGTCACATGCTGCTATTTTATTATTCCTACTTCCCCCTGGCTTGTAACAGTAAAAACCCCAGGAGGCGGTTGTCATCCTGAACAAGGACAGGTTCTCGCCCTGCAAAACATTGCTAAACTCTTAGATACTTATTTGGTTGGAAGAGAAACAAGAAGGGTGAAGTGAGTAAGAGCAGCTTTTCCTTTGGGAGCTCAGGTCCTGCTCTTTTCCTTCTTTGGAGAGCTGCCCAGCAGGCAACCCCAAACAGCAAATCCCAAACGGTTCAGAACTTCAGACAGTCCTTCAAATAGCAAGGAATTACATTTAGGGAACATGCTTCCATATCTGTTTAGCGATTCATAGAACCAAAAATGATTTGGGCTGGAAGGGACTTTAAAGATCATCTAGTTCCAACCCCCTGCCACAGGCAGGGACACATCCTGCTAGACCTGATTCCTCAAAGCCCCATCCAGCCTGGCCTTGGACACTTCCAGGGAGGAGGCATCCACAGCTTCTCTGTGCCAGTGTCTCACCACCCTCATAGTGAAGAACTTCTTCCTAATGTCCAATCTAAATCTACCCTGATTCTGAATCTGAAAAGGTTTGAGAAATCTTTAAGTACCTGAACATGAATTTATTTGCTGGGAGTTCTTATGATCTAACAACACCTAACAACACCCAAAACAGTGCTAACACATCAGTGTGTATTTTCCTGAAGCCTGCTGCCTAGGGGAAAATCTTCCCTGTACTAAATTACATCCATGGCACACCCCAAGCTCATAATCACTGACATCATCTCTCTACAGGCAAACTGCACATCCCCAAGCACACGGCTAAGGGGGGCCACACTGCAAAGAGCACCGAGACCCCCACCTCTGAAGAGGCTGCTGGTGCTGGGGACCAGCCTGGGCTTCCCCACCAGCAGTGTCTCTTATTTACGTCCAGGAAGACCCTACCCTTTAGTCCGTTCCTGCCAGCCCGTGCAGCGAGGCTGACGTGTCACTCGAAACTGCGCATGACTTGGCGGGGGGC